TTGAAAATAATAAATGGTTTACAGCACTGCGCCCCTCTTTATCCCGATGGAATGGGATAAGCCGAGGTGAAGCGAATCTGTCGGTCGTAGTTAGCATGTAAAGTCTCAGATCTTAGCATAAATTGAAGTAACAGATACGAAGCTCACTACTGAAAGAGTTATCAGCATTGAAAAGGACAGTGGATTCAATATGACAAATCTGTCTCTAAGTTGAGCAAAGTTATCAGGGGACGAAAAGCCAACATCCGGGGGTATAACCAAGCCAGTGAACCACTAGCAGTTGGCCTAGAGGAGTTGCCTACAAAAACTGAATCCAAACCAACCAAGAGGCGTACGAATCACACCTACACCAAGCTTTTTGTTTGTGGCAGTGGTTATTGACTCGATTGGGTATTGTATTGGACACCTTGGACGTCTCACCCCGTCCAAACCGAGTATGATCCCATGAACTGGACACCGGTGTACTCCTGCCTCCGAACCCGAATATGCTTCTACAACAGACAACTGTGAAACTAACATGCGTCAATATAACCGCTTACCGCAGTGACCTAGATTAGCTGTGCTGTCGTCCGGTTCAGTACCACACCTAACCTATCGGGGTCTTATGTGGTTCACCACTCCAAGTCCCGGGACTAAGGTTACCGGTTTTCATCACTGAACAGCAGGTCCTCATGATTATGGGGCTTTTCCCGTCAATTGTTCATCACACGAAAGTGTGCAATAAAAAATGGACACCCCATCCCCACCTCCAAATTATCAAGGAAAAGATCAAAAGGATGAAGATTAAGTATAAAACATCGCTTGATCAACTTACAATGGTAACGGAAAATGAAACGTACCTTACGCCGGGAAGCACGCCTCAAGCCAAGTGCATCACGTGGTTCATCTTCGCCGGGCACATTAGACAACGGATGACTGCAACACGTGTTCGACCACAAATTCGGATACGTTAGTTTCGATGCAGCTCGTTGTTGCATAAGCAAGCACAGATTGGTCGAACAATCCGGTCTAGGAGCGTATAGGAACAGGCTGAATGCACGATGCAGCGGTGGTCGTTTGCCGGACTGTTGTTCATGACAGATCTATAGGCACAGGGGAATAGTTTGTAGAAATAACTTGCCAACGGAATTACGGTTTGACTTACTTTTTTGGTCGCAGTGCCAACAGGTCGATCCTCCTCGTCGACCAGAAAACATAACTCTTGATTCATGTACCGAATTTGCGCATCCTTCGAAACAACAGAAGTGAAACACCGCAACGACGTTTTTGTGCATGAACCCACAGTACTGAGCATCAAAGCTGAAGAGAGAGAGAAAATTGTATTATATAACGGCAGTAGGTTTCAAGAGAGAAAGAGAGGGTACTCAACACCTGATGATGATGATGATGGGTGTAATAAAAAGTAGAAGCATTTAACCAGCCGGAGTCGAAAGTCAGTGATCCGAGGTTGGGGTGGGTGAACAGTCAGTTGGTGTATCCCATCCTCCCAATCAGTGCCGACAATGACTCCGGTCAATAGATTCGTAGTGTACATACAAAACCTAACAAAAATGAAAAAGCTAGTGCAATCAATGCTGTCTCGTTCTGTTTTCGTTAGTTCAGTTTTTACAACCATTAACCATGCACCTTCGTGTGCCGGTTTTGGTTGCTCATTTGGATAAAAGAGCGAAATGAAGATTGGAATGTTAAAAGTAAATTGAAGCAAAAGATGGAGAATTCATATAGAATGGTGTGAGGGGAATAATGAGTGGACGTACGAGCGCCACTGTTTGCGGAACCCAGCCATATCACTCGGTGTTTCTAACCATCGATGGCCATCGTCCCGAGGTCCCCATCCAGAGAGCTTAACGGGACCTATGTGACCGAGTCTCCAGTTTAGGGTTTTCATACCCTCATGCCAGGTCTTCGCTTGAACTCCCTTGACTATTTTCAAACCGCTACCTGTTCAGTTCAGTTCAGTTTGAACAATCATTAACCACGCATATTCGAGCGCCGGTTTGGGTTGCTATTTTTTGGCTGCCCATTTGGGTGAAGAATAGGAGAAGAAAGGAAAGTTAAAAGTGGAGTCGAAAAGAAAATGGAGAAGTTCAGTGGTCTAAGGTTGCAAAGAAATTGAGGAAATGCACGAACGCCACCGTT